CAAAAGCAGCCACACAAGAAGTCGGGTGGTGGTGGTGGTGGTGGTTTTTTTTTTTGGTGAGACGGTGGTGAGCTTCCTGGGACGCAGGCCACGCCCCTCCCTCAGGCCTCCCCCGATGTTCAAGACCAATCTGCAGCTTCCTCCTCCACCTTCTCTGCCTCAGACAAAGTCTTCCTCATCCTCGACGGACGGACGGACGGACGGCGGTGTTTCTCCGGAGGGGACGGAGCCCGACTGCCCTGACGGAGGCATCACCCGTCCACAGGCTGTGCAGCTCAGGTTATTGTTGTCGTTTCATAATTTCGGTTACAAAGTTATACAGCTAAAAGAAGTGACTGAAAACAAGGCAATGCAGGAGGAAGGGGGGGGTGTACAGTGCATGACGGGAGGGAGGGGGCTTCACGACGTCGCCGCCGCCTTCTCCTGTTCGATGGCTGTGAGGGGAGACAGAAGGAGGAGGTGGTGTGAGATTTGCACATCTTCCCAAGTGTTGGCGAATAAAAGAGAAAGAAAGAAAGAATGCGAGACACTCACTTTCTTTTGAAGGCAGGGGATTCTTCTCCTGCGTCTCTGTCTTCTTCAGCTTGGACTTGTCGAAGCTGGTCACCTCTGAGATGTCTGGCTTGTCGCTCATTGTTGCAGTTGGTCTGTGAGGAAGAAAATGAGCAGATGGTTAGACAGGGAGCAGATGATGATGACAGCACATAAACTTCTGCAAGGAACAGTTAAAAGCAGTGATTACAGCAATTAGATATATTAAGCTCCTAATGAGGGTTTCCAAAGAGCAAAACCACCACATCATGTGCTCTATCAGTGGAAGGGCGTTGCCTAAATCTCAGCCACCAAAAACCCATTTGTGCAGTTTAACTACATGCGCAACCGCAGACGACTTTCCCCTCTAATGTGCGTCCGCCTTCTTTTGTTCGCCTGCGGCTCAAACCCAGCCTGATCTGCCTCCATCCATCCGTCCGTCCCCAGCGCACAGCCCGGGATGTTGCACACAGAAAGGAGGAGGTGGTGGTGGTGTTGGAGGGGGGGTGGACAGACAATGAAGCCAGTCCAAGGCGACATTTACATAACAATAGGAGTTCCCATGCTGCGCAAGGCGAGGAAAATATGAAAAAAAAACGGACGATTGCTTGATTTTGCGCAAAATTACGCACGAAAATGATCAGAAATGTTGAGGTTAAAAAGCGATTTCTGAGTCTCCACATGGAAGCTGTGCAACATCCGCAAATTCACTTGTCACGTACTTCTCCCCTTGGGGCGCAATCTGAAGGAACCACCGCCCAGATTGGCATTCCGCTCACTCATCTTGTCCACTTTTATCCAAAAAACAAAAACAAAAAAACGCTGGATTACGCAGCACCAGGCGAGATCTCACACCCCAAAACCCGCCGTGGACATCATTTTAATACCACGCGTGGATGAAACCCACACACACAGCAACAAAAGGAGGCTTCAGACAAAGACTCACACGCCTTCTCCTGCTGTCACATCAGCCAGATCGCAGCTTTTAGGGAACAGCAGCCAAAAATAAAATAAAAATAAAAATCACATTATCGCTCGGTTTGTTGTGCGCTTTTCTGTGCGCCGCATCTTTTTCCTCTTTCACCCTCCAAACATCCCTAATCTGGCTGTTGGACTCTCTTAAAGCTGCAAATGATTAAAAAGAAGAAGAAAAACAGAGAGATTCTTTGTTGAGCAGGACTCACCGATGTGTTGGCTGAAGGCTGGAAGGTCTCTGGTCAGCGCGGTGCAGCAGTAGTGGCGCGTCTTTGCGCAAGCATTAGATATAGTCAGAAATATGCTAATGACATCTGACATCACCAGCTCCCATCCTCCGTGTCCCCCTGCCGGAGAGCAGAGGAGCCGCACACACCTCCATCCTCATGCTGAAACCAAACACTGAAACCCCCGAAAGCAGCCTCACAGTTTCGCCTCCCAGAGGAAAGGAGGGAAAATATGTGGATTTATTGCGCGTCTGAGCTTCACTGAAGCCTCACGTGGAGCTAAATGGAGCTGAATGCTTCACTCCAGCTCTTAGTTGATCACATTACGCCTCATCTCAGCAGTGATATATGTGTTACCTAACAGGGAGAGTTATTTTAACTGCATTTGATGTGAGAAATGTCGCTCCTGTGACTTGAATTGAACAAAAATGTTTCCTTCCTCATGACTTTTGTGTGTCTGGAGCTGCTGCGCTTTGACGCACACTGAGCGCCACCTGGTGGCGGCTCAACTTCACTTCATTCACCTTTTTGTTTTTTTTGGAGACACAAGGCCTCCTTTAGATTCGGAGATTCAGACAGAACATGTGCATTTATCCTCTCAGCAGAGATGACATTGGGAGGAGAAGGAGGATAAATATTTGACAGTAGCACAGAATGTTTGCGATTGTTTTGCATTCTTGACATTTCCACCATAAATTAATGCAGAAAAAGCTCAAACTGCTGCATAAAGATTCACCAGAGTTCAGGAAATCAAGTGTTCCACACTCAAAATGTCATTTATAGATAAAATAAGATTGCAGATTAGATTTAATTCCTCCGAATATACAATTTTAAACTGAGAAATTCTGAGATTGTACTGTCGAGGATCTGCGACACAATAAAGCTCAGCACCTGGATGTCATCTTTGACTGTGTTTTGTTCAGATTTGTCTCTTTGTCATTGTGTTTTTATGTCTTATAGGTTGTTCTGTTGTTTAAATTGTGCTTCATTATTACATTTGTCTTGGTCTTGAGTAGAAAAACAACTATTTTTAGACAGTTTTGTGAATTTAAATCATCACATTTGACCTTTGTGTTTGTCAAACTTGAACATTTCTTCCACTTTTTAGCACCAGTGAGCAGTTTGTAAGTTCAAAGCAGCTTAGTGTTACACATCAAGTCCACATCCATCACTCCATTCTTCAACTTTAAATAAAGAATTACCACCAAAGTCTCACTCATTCAGATTTACAATCACAGTAAGCAAAAACTGCAGTGACTCCCTACCTTTAAAGCTCAGAAACTTGGATTATGTGTCCACTTTTTAAACAAAACATAATGTGAATATCTTCAGGTGATGCCTAACTGTCTGCTCATCAAACATTTTCTCTATTTCATGTGTGGTGTCGTTGGGTTTGCTTGTTTTTTTTTAATTTGCTGCCTGCAAACCAGAAGCGTCCGCACCTTCCTCTGATCGGTTTCCACCCAGGGACGGCCCCTGCCGTACATCAAGCGCTCCCAGCCAGAAAGGTCATCGGGGCTCTTTCTGCTTTTGTTCAGGGGTTTCTGCTATTGGCTGGAAACAAGTCAGTCAATCACGGTGGAAGCCAATCGCTTCCTCTTTTCAACGAGGTGGTTTGGCTGCGCCTGAAGTTCCTCCTTCTGCACAGCTGGACGGCATCAAAATCTGGCCTCTGAGACACATTTCTGAGAAGTTCAGGGACATGAGAGTCCCCACAAAGTGAAAAGTCATCAGTTCCCAGAAGTTTAATTAATCAGATCCGAGTTATTGTTATTCTAGCAGGACTTTCTGCCGACCGCAGAAGAGCTTGTTTTTAACCCCAAGTTTAGCCTGATGTAGTAGATAAACGAGTAGATGTTGTCGTTTTAGTGGAGTCATAAACATTTCTTCCTTTATGAGCTTTTTCATTTGGGTGTCAAAAAATCCATAAAACAGCTGGATTAACAAACAAATAATTCATGACAAGTAAAGTCCAGCAGCAGCAGCATTATGACCAAAATGTGCTGAAAGCATCAAAACTAAAACCACTTGTTCCACATTTGATTGCTGACACCGACACGGGGCTGCCACTGAGTCCTACTGTTGATTAACTTCTGGAACATGTCTTGTTTTGTCCACAACCTAAAAATATCCAGTTTTACTGTCAGAGAGGAGGAAAGAAACCAGGAAGTGTTCACATTTAAGGAGCTGAAAGTACAGAAAATCTAACTTTAGAGGGGGAATCTGTTTTTGGTGCAACACCTAAAAAAAGGACATTTTCTTTTTTCCTCCACTTATCTGGCATCACAGTGGCAGCAGGTTAAAAATGGTCATTCCAGATGCTCCTCTCCCTCCAGCAGCAGTTTTCAGTCCCTCTTGGGTTGTCCCAGGCCAGATGACATACGTAGTCCCTGCCTGGAAGTCCTCCAAGGACAAAAACCTGATCAGACCCGAACCCTCCAGAGCTCCTCGCCGTATCTCCAAGGCTGAGTTCAACGACAGAGGAAAGTTTCACATGATGCTGGAGAGGACTTTGTCTCTCCTTTAGATTCAACTATTCATGGAGTGGCAACAGAATGGATGTAGGTCCATGTATATATGTGTACGTATAGATATCTATGTGTATATATGTATTGTGTCTGTCACTCACATGAAGTCTTATTATTTTATATATATTTTTATGAGTAAATGACACATTTATTATAAAGAAATTGATTATGTATATGGTACAATTACATATTGTAGATCAGTGCAGTTAATTGATTATATATTGATGCATATTTTATATTAAATCCATTTATTATATGTAGGAACATGTAATGAATCACAGGGCGATAAGAGGGTGGGAGTTAATACGTTTATACTTCTTCCTGCTCCTTTTTGAACTCATGTTTGTATGTTTTCCCTTGTTTCTTATTTTTGTTCGACATAAATATTTCATTCATTTTATTTTCTTTCTCTATTTTTTTTTTTAATATGCTCAAAAAAAAAGAACTGAATCGACTCCAGACTGAACTTCTTTCCTCCACTTGTACCTCATTATTTCGCTCATGGCGATAGACGAGGGCTGGAATGTAAATAAATGCTTAAAGTGCCTAATTTTCCTCAACTTCATACAAACGAGGAGCAACATCCCGTCACTCAAAACACTGCTGACGTAGCCGGTGAATGAACGACATTTAAATGATGAATCCAGTGGACGAGCATCATCAACCTCTCACCAGTTAGCAACCTTAAGATACATCCAGTTTCTCTTTAACGTGAAAAAAAAAGCAGAGCACGACGGTGTCTGTAAGCCATTGTCAAAGCTTTATTGTCAACGAAACAGCTCGAAGTGTTACATATAAAAAATATGAAATCACACTTTATCACCAATTATTTTTTTAGCCACCAAACAGGCAAACAGTGAAACCTGCCTCATTCGAACTAAAGTGACCCATTACAGCTGTGACGATTACACCAGAGTACCACGAATCATGGCTGAAATCTCAACACTAGAATAAAACTTCGGGCTCAATTACTTTTCATGACCTTTTTTTTTTTTTCGAACATGGGCAGAGCACCCACTACACCTCGTATTAAACTTTCATATATCTTTTTTTTAGCGCGATTAAGGAAGGTTGCCATACAGCAGCAGCTTATTGGGGGAGATGACACTGCAGAGGACAGCACATTCGGTACAGCTCGCTAAAAATAAAACAACTAAAAAGTGAGAAAATTAGAAGATCGGTCGCCTAGTTCGACTCTTGCTGTGCCCGTGGTCACAGTCGGACTTGTTGTGCAGCTTTAAAACTACCATAAGATGCCCAATAACGGCACTAAGCATCAACTATTACTAAGCCAACAGCTAGTTAAGGGTTAGACTACATCTATAATACTTTGAGCAGCTGTTAAAGCTTAAGAGGGGGGGGGAAAGGTGCACATTCTTATTGTTTTTTAAGTGATTTGTGAGGCAGAAAGGGCCGAAATATTTCCAATCACGTGACAGTGGAACGCTTCATTTAAAAAGAATTCAATATGAGGTAAAAAATGATAGAGAATGGACCCTTTGGTTAAGTGAAGGCCGGGCTTTAGGGGGTCGGTGTTAGCACGACAGGAGGAAATAAAAATGAACAGAAAATAACTCATAAATACAAACTTGGTCTTCGGAGGAGGAAGTGATCTTTGTCTGCTGGGTGAAAATGTCAAAGACGAGGCGTGACCTTTGCGGAGGGGGTCACATGTGGTTGGCCGAAACCCCATCAGGCGTTGTTTCCGAGCCTTTTACGAAGGATATGTGGCCCGAGGTGCCAGCCGAGCGGCCTGATGGGAGGAGGAGGAGGAGAGGGCGGCGCCTCCCCGGCTCTTTTACAAGGGAACGTGGCTGAAGAGGTAGGACACTGACTCGCCGTTGTGGGTTCTCCTGATCGCCTCCGCCAGGATCATGGAGATGTCGATGACCTGGAGGGAAGAGCAGACTGAGCGTTTAAACGTGACTCGCTATGAACACAAGCACATCAACAGCACACCCTTCAGGACCTGGGACCATTGAGGCCTTTTCTGAACTGATAAAGTTGAAGTATCAGCATGAACCTGAGCCCAACACAAAGGCTGTGAACAGAGGTGATGAACAGAAGTCTTGCTCTCTTCTTGTCAACACAGAACTGCCTGTAGTCTGACTGACGCCTCCTCTGATTGCGACAGTATTCAACAGCAAGACTTTCAGTGTGTTTTAGTTTGGAAAACCAGATTGAACCGGCAGATACTAAATATGAAATGACTCGGATCAGAGGGGTATGAACTATGAAGCTAGTTTGACATATCCAGGCTTTCTTTGTCAGTTGGCTCAACACAAACTAAAGTTCCAGTCAGAGTTTATGGGTATCACGAAGGTGGTTTTCAACTGTGTTTGTCAACTCAGACTTTCTGCTTCAGACTCTGTTCAAATAAAAGGAGGCGTTTAATGTGTCACGTGACTTTTCCTTTGCACAAAAGTAAACGATTGTGTGCAGCAGCTTCAGCCAACATGTAGTTTTAATGGAGAACAATGAGGAAAATCAAACTGTATGATGGTAAAAGAGCTGCTCCTGCAAATGGTGCCAGACAGAAATGCTGGTAGAAACCTGTTAAATGTGCTTATTTAACAGATAGCTGCACATTAAAGCTGTTTAATGTCACATATTTAAACATGATCTTGTATTGAAGTGCATTTAGGTCTGACACTATCCCATAATGCAGGAAATCACTGAAAGTTGTGGCCAAATCAAAGCGAAATTAATGCAATAAATACCATTTTCTAATCTTGTTCGATCAGCTGCAGTACCTGCTGTGTAAACATAAAAACATATTTATGTGATTTCGGCATCGGCAACTAAATACATGTCTGGTTCCCATGGCAACACGATGCATACAGCAATAATAGTCAGGAAACGATCTGGTTAAAGGGAGACGCTCTTTCCAGCTGATTTAAATCCAAAACTCTGAACATGACCTGCTCCCGACCAGGTTAGCTCCACAGCATCCGTTACCATGGAGATCTAGCTCCACAGCATCTGTTACCATGGAGATCTAGCTCCACAGCATCCGTTACCATGGAGATCTAGCAGGTTAAAAGAGAGACACCTTCATGACACTGAAAACTCTGACTTTAGGATCAACATGCCTGCTAAACCACTGATCTCACTTTGTAGTACAGCCCTCTGATCTGGGAAATAAATCTGATCTGGGCATCGCTACTTCAAAGGTTAA